TCACACACTCGCACACACTCACACACACACACACTCACACATACACACACACACACCACACACACACACACACACCACACACACCACACACACACACACACACACACCACACACATACAAACCACACACACACACATCTATCTGTCATCTATCTCTCTCTCCATATATATGCATGCATGCATACGCACATACACACATATCTACATCCATAAAACACACACACACACATCCATACGCACAGAAAGAGAGAGAGAAAAAAAGATAAAGATAAAACAGGACATGAGAGATATGATAACTTCCCCGACGAAACGGCGCCGCAGACACTGATAAGGAGCACACAACCACACATTTGCTAGGAGATTTTCGACCTTATGAACCTTTAGATAGTATGCCCTGTTTCCCCCCCTCTCTCCGCACCTTCTTGCGGTTTATCTTCGGACATCACGTGATAAGGAAGGTTTTTAGGAGGGGGAGGGGGAGGGGCTGCAAAGGAGAAAAAGGAAGAGGAAGTGGAGGGAGGAGGAGGAAGGAAAAGGAGGAAGAGAAGAAGAGGAGGGAGGAGGAGAGAATGAAGGAAGAAGGGGAAGAAGAGGAGGGAGGAGGAGTGAAAGAGGGGAGGAAGAGAAGGAGAGAAAAAGGGGAGTGGAAAAAGGGGAAAAAGAGGAGGAGGAGGAGTGAAAGAGGGGGAGGGAGGAAAGAGGGGGATGAGGAGGGAAGAGGGAGAAGGAAGAAGAGAAAAGGGAAAGAGGAGCGGAAGGGGGGGGGGGAGAATAAAGGAGGAGGGAGAAGAGGGAGATTGCAAGAAGATGAAGAAAGAGAAGAGAAAAGAAGGCGAAGAAGAGGACAAGGAGAGGAAAGGGAGAGTCAGAATAGAGAGGAGAAAGCGGGGAAGAGAAAGAGAAAAGAAAAGGAGGAATGAAGGAGGGTGGGAAACAAAAATGAAAAAAGAAGATGAGGTAAGATTGGGAGAGGAGAAAAAAAGGTGGAAGGGGACGAAGGAAGATGAAGGAGAGAGAAAGCAAGGGAGAAGCGGGAAAAAATGGAAGGGGAGAGAAGTGTTGGAAGGAGAAGGAGGAGATGGAAGGAAAAGAGGAAGAGAATGAAAGAAAAAAAGGAGTCCGGTAAGAAATATGCATACAGTGAAA